CTCCGTGAAAACCAGATTTCAAAGTTCCAAAAAATTCTACAACCAAAAATGCTTGTTGCAATGTTCATTTTCTATAAACATGTAAAATTGGAAGTTCTAAACTCATATTCATATAGGAGATAAAAACATGTAATTATGATCAGTTATCTCTATTATTAGATGGGAATTGATCGGTGTATGTCCACCCCTGCCCCTCCCCTGTTTGTCAACCCTCCCCATGTCCTGCATTAACTCGATCAAATCAAATCTTATCAAAACTCGAGTAAATCAAAACTTTTATTGTGTTCCCTCGCCAATACCCAAATCAAATAAAATATCTACTGCTATTAGAGGGTAATCTGACATGTTTGAAGAACATCCACCACCCAAAACATACTGTACCACTTGGGGTATTTCAAGTAGTTTGGAAACTTATTTTTCACATGGTCTTTACCGGTTCCCACGTTATTTTGTTTTCGCTGGATATTTTCTCTGCCCGCGCATGGGTGTCAAAAGGCACCTGAGTACTTGCTGGCAGTTGCTATGTTTAGCCAGGGACATGCTTGTCTTGTCACCGATGGGCAGCTAGTTTACCTCAGGAAATGCATGGCAGGAGCTAGCATCTGATGAAGTCATTAATTCACGCTGGATCTTTGCGCGGTAACACAAAGCATCCAAAACCAGAGGGGACAGCCGCAGCGCTGTCGTCGTCGCTCGTGGATCACGCACACGACCAGGCACTGCGCGCAACTAGGCATATGCCAGCATCCATCCACCAGTCATCAGTATGCCAAAAATATCACCGTGGCCGACCGCCCGCGAGGCCGCGACGATCAACCAGCGGCGGCACCGCGGCCCGTGCGCGCATGGCCCGCGCTCGGTGGGCTACTCCACCCACCGAACTCACACGCCACGCGCCTGCCAAGGTAGATCCGGGGGCGGCTCCCTGCCAAAGCCGCTGGTGCGGCGACCGACCTGCGATGTCGTCCCGCGTACGGTACTCCGCGAACCTGCCGCGCTGGTCGATGCAGTTCGTTACACGGCTGGCCAGATGTTATAAAATGGAGCCTTGCTTTGCCAGCCCGCCGTTTCACACATTCCCTGGCGCGTGATCATGTCACGTACATGTCCCTTTTTTTGAACACATTTGCCATTTCACTTAACTGAATTAACCACTTCGCGTAAAGCAGGTGCTGACACTAACCTACCGCTACCGGCGATCCTCGTACACGGCCCTCAGCTTCAACCGCCGCTCACATCATCACGTGTGGAGTGGAGTGGATTGCAGACGACGAGCTTCCCGAGGATGACGAAAGCAGATCAGGGGGTGCGCAACACACGTCACAGCGAGCCTGCAGGCCGACGACGGCAGACGGAATCTGAACCTGCCGCCGACCCCCACGCTTTTCCGGGGAAGCCTTTCGACAGTTACCATCCGATCCGCCCGCAGTTGCAGGGCAGAACCCAGAACCCACCCAGCACCCAGACCCAGACCCAGGGGAGGCCCCCAGCCTATCTGTAAATTTCTGTTTCTTTCTCTCTTCCGGCAAGGGCCCGGCCCTCATCCGTCCAAGCGCAAGTCACGCATGCAACGGCCCTCTCCAAATCCGAGCGTCGAACCCAACGGCACCCCGTTCGAATTACCCCCATCATCATCCATCACTCATCAGTTTCAAATCCGTCTTAACCCCGCCCAGGCGCTACGTGAGCCGTCGGATCCGGCCCGGCCCACGTGTCACGCCTGCAGACAACGAGGGGCAATCTCGTCCGTAGCCGCCCGCCGGAAAGGCCATTCCCGTGATGATCACGTTCCGTTTGGGATTTCCAGAACGCCGTTACCGACTCAGTGGCCAGCGTCCAGATCCGGCTGACGGCGCCGTCGGGCGGTCCTGGCCGTCGGATCGGGATCCGATCCCCCGGCTCCCTTGGCGTGTTATATGTGTACGCACACACGCGCACGGGGCTCACTCCGGACGGGGGAGAGAATCCAAAGAGCAACCCAGCGGCATCATATCCCTCCATCCCACCGGCGCCGCGCTGCGCACTGCAGACGGAAACGGCCAAAGGAGGGCAGGCAGGAGCGCGCGGCGTGGGGCGATGGGGAAGTACATGCGCAAGTGCAGGGCGGAGGACGGCGTGGGCGGCGTGGAGGTCACGCAGGCCGTCGGCGTCCGGACCCGGTCGCGGGCGGCCGCGGCCAACGTCGTCGTTTCCAAGAGGAGGCGGCCGCTGCCGCCAAGCTCGCCCCTCGGCGGCGCCGCCGCTCGCGCCCAGAGCGGGAGCTGCTACCTGAAGCTGCGGAGCCGCATGCTGTTCATGGCCCCGCCGGCGCCTGCATCGGCTGCTGGCCCAGGGCACAGGCCGGCGCCGCCGCTCCCGGCGGGCCTCTCGCGCTGCTCCAGCACGGCGTCGTCCGTGGACGCGTCGGCCGCGGGACAGGATAGGAGCCTGCCGTCGTGCGGCTCCGACGCCGCTGCAAACAGCAAGGTGAGGGAATTGGGGTCCAAACCCTAGAGTTCGGATACGATTCGAGATCTCCTTTTTTTGCTGAAAATCGTGGCTTTCTCCGCTCTACAGGCAGGCGCTCCGGAGGGCTCAGCAAGCAACAACGCGGAGAGCGGCGGCAACCGCGAGAGGTGCGAGATCGAATTCCCTCCTGTCTCCGGCCAATTCTTGTGAATTATGCCTCCTGACGTGCTCCTGACCCCGTCCCGCTCGTCGCTTTTGAAAATTCAGGCGAGAGACGACGCCGTCCAGCCATTTCCCCGGCGACCTGAGCGACCTGGAGTCGGATCTGGCGGGCCAGAACAGCGGCCGGTCGTCGCTGCCGCAAACGCCGACCGCCCAGGTCCAGCCGGCCGCGAGGTCGAGGATCCCGCCGGCGGCCGAGATCGAGGAGTTCTTCGCGGCCGCCGAGGAGGCCGAGGCCAGGCGCTTCGCTTGCAAGTAAGTACTTTAGCAGCAGCGGAAATTTCCTTATCTTGCGGCCGCCGTCGCCGTCGCCGGAATTCTAACGTGCGAGCTCTCTGTGCCAGGTACAACTTCGACGTGGCCCGCGGCGTGCCTCTCGACTCCGGCCGGTACGAGTGGACCCCGGCGGTGAGCAGCAACTAGCCAGCCGATGAAAGCGAGCGTGCAAAGGGGGGAGAGAAGCTGTAGCTAGAAAGTTACTCACTGTAGAGCTGGGGCGCCGGCCGGCCGGCCGGCCGTGTAGAAAGGCGAAGGGAAAAAGATGCTCCGGAAAGAAGAAAAAGAAGCATTATAGCCTAACCAACCAACCAACCACCGATTCATCAACCAACTTTTTCTTTCACTCATTCACTCACATATTCCCACCATTATCACCTCTCACACCCTTATATTAATCCTGATTTTCCCAGCAGCATGCAGCAGTAGCAGTTTTACTTCCCCTACTGGTACTTATCTTCGTTGACAGGACGGATCGCTCGATCAGTCCCTTACTGTAATTGTCACCTAGTAGTAGTTGATTACCTTACCTGTATTTGCCTGGATTTTTTACTGTACATCGTCGTCAGCATGTAGCAGCAGCAGCAGCAGCTTCTTGCTGCTGCGCCGCAGATCTATAATTTGATTTGAGTGAGTGAACCGTCTCCCTTTGCCGTTTCCATCCATGCATGATTCCGCCTTATCCGTTGCACTGGTCCTGCAAGAAGAAATGCACACGTTATGCGCGGTTACCCAGATCGTTGGGTAGCTACTCCTAGGTAGTTCTGCAAGTGAGCAGGCATGCAGAGGCTTTGCAGGGGCACGGAAACAGCTTCGGCACCCATGCATGGCATGGATGGATGCTTCGGTGCAGAGTGCAGTGCAGTGCAGACAGGCAGTACAGGCAGGCAGACTGCAGTGGAGGCTTCCATGGCAGGCGGCATGGCGTGCCGTGGAAAGAAGGCTTCGCTGGGAGATGGGGGACCCCGGTGCCTGGGCCAAGGCACAGCGCGCGGATCGCCCACACCAGGGAAGAAGGGGAGGGAAGTTACCACTGTCTCCCTACCTCTGCCGTCGTCGCGGTTAAAAAAGGGGTTAGATAGAGCAAGTGGTGATTAACCTATGCGTGAATGATTAGTGATTAGAGCGGCCGTCTGAACTAAACAAAGCGCCGCTGGGGAGGGGAGCTGGGTCTGGATCCATGGCACATGGATGCATCATGCCGTGCACGGTGGGAGGGGGGGTAGGGAGGGGGCATTAAGGAATGTTAGTTGCATCGGGATCTGGGTCAGTCAGTAGGTTGGTAAAAACTAGTAGGAATAGGATGGGAGCAGGGAGGGAGAGATGCCGCTGGGATTCGGTGCCAGACACTCAGCTCGCCGGGAACTGGGACGAACTACACCACACGCACGCACAATGCTGTTTGCTGGCTTTAATTTTGCACTGAAACTTGTGGTGTGTGGGGGCGGGCCCCGGCTCTCGTGTGACCTCACCTCATTGGTAACTTCTGTACCCTGCGTCTGGGGGGTTTGTATGTGTAGCCCGATATGGCAAGGTATCAGCTCGCTCTAGCCATGGAGGCTCTAGCCTGGGTTCAGTTTTGGAAAATACTGAACTTTTCTTGCAGTACTGGCAGTACTGTATTTTGTTAGCCTGACGCTTTGCCGGTGCCGACGGCAATGTAATCTGCTTTTGCTTACGTTCGTCCACGGTGTGTGTGTGAAGGATTATGTATACTATATACTAATGCAGAAGAATAGTGGTGTGCTAACGAAGAAAGAGCAGGTCACTTTCCGTGCTGTTGGAGCTGAAATAACACTAGCACTGTGCCTGTGATTGGACGAATGAAAAGTCGACACAACGTGCAAGAGAGAGAGTGGGCGGTTTGATGGGGAGCATGCATGATCGGGCACGTTGTGAGCATCATAAAATAAGCTGGATCGATCGCTTTACAGTTCTACAATACGAAGCCCAGATCCGTGGAAGGTGGTGGGGGTGAGATCATGAATGAGACTTGAGAGATCGATTGGCCGATCCACCGGGGTTGGCAGCGCGGTGCAGCGCGTTTGTTTGTTTGTCGTCGATCACCAGTAATTTGTGTCAGCGACGGTACGGTGAAAAGGGGGTCCGTTCGACAACAGGCGTTATAGAAAACGCGGTGATTTGCCTGGGGACTCTGGGAGGAGGAGAAGGTGGGGATCCCCAAGCAGTAAACATTCCGCGCACGCTGGGTTAATAATGGCCGGCCATCTCGTTAAGTATGGAGTATATTTTACTCACTTTGAGCTAGCGGTGGCACTGAAACTGCGGGTTTCTGTTGGGGTAGCTCTGCTTTGGAGTCCACAAGTGGCGGAATCCCTCCATTTCCTGCGGATAAACACGCACAACTGTCTACTCATGCCTGCCATGGCAGAGCATGCAAAGTGACAGCATCAGCATATCTGAACGCATCTGCTACTGGTAGTAGCAACCTAGGATCGATCAGGGAATGGCGGCACCCAGAGTGACAGTGAAACTGCCGCAACTCCTTCAGATTCAGAAAAGGCAGGGCAGAGCAGAGCAGACGTCGTGTGTTGGCGCTGATTCAGACCGTTTGCATTCATCTGTAACGTAGTACGATTTTGCACTAAACTCGCGAAGTACTGGGAGGGGTGGTACTTTGCTGTGTATTAACTGCGTTGCAAGTCCCAATTGTCCGTCGCAGTCCTAGAACAGCGCAAATATGGACGCAGCGATCTGTAGGGGTACGGCGGACGCAAACGGGCCAGCGGAGTACACACCGATCGATCGATCCACCAGGGAAATTAAAGGGGCGGCGGACGGACGGGCGATTCACCCACCGTGCGCCCACTGTAGCCAGTACCGCCGAGGACGCGCTCGTTCGTGCTCGCCGCCATGGCACGGCCAGGCGGCCAACGGGCGCGCTGCCGAGGACGGAATGACCGGTACTTGCCGCCGGCCGTATCGTCTCCGTTGTCGCGCCTCCTGTCGTGCTGCACGGTGCGGAGGCATGTGGAGGATTGGACGTGTAACAGGGGGTTTAGAGAGGACGGTGGTGGTGGTACCAGGGTAGTAGTAGTCGTTGTGAGAAATCCGTATGGGAATTGATCTCGACCTGATACGCGCATTCATGCCTATTGATTACGGATCGAAATCTGGGGGATTCACGATCTCTCTAGCGCGTGTTGTAAATAGGGTACGTCCCGTCGGGAACAAGAGCCTGTTTTTTTTTTTTTTGGTTGCTACAAATCAACCTGATGAAAGCCTACAGAAATCATCCACCTAAATAGCCGTCCGATCTGACTGACGGTGGTTGTTCGATCGCAACAAACAGAGCGGTCCTCTTTCTTCTATGTTCTTCCATCCATCAGCGAATACCTCAGAGCACCGACTACCTCGTCTTCCTTCTCTGCTGCGTCCTCTACCTCGCAGCACCGAAGCCAGCACGGCAAAAAGCTTCAGCGCAGCAGCTTCCATGGCAGTAGCGCTTGGCGCGAAGCATCGGCGGTGTCCGGTGGCGCTCCATTGCAACCCCAACGGAGATTAAATGACCCCGCGGTGCTTCACTGCAGCTCCGGCAACGCTTCATTGCAGCGCCGACGGAGCTTCAATGACCCGCCAACGAGGGCTGCATTGCAGCACCGGCGGCCGCCGATGAGCATCCGTCGTATTGCACAACAACTCCAGCCACTGCAGCCTCGCCGCGCTTCGTCGTGTTGCACAACATCGCCGGTGCAGCGGCGATGCCCTCTTTTATTGCAGTGGTGCTCGGTGTAGTCTTTAACAACGCCGCTCGCCGCCCCCACAACACTGATGTGCAGCCGCGGACCGTGGTAGTTCGCCAGTGGCCTGGGTATGCAACTTCGATGCGCATCTGCAACAGAGATGCTGAGTGAATCACCGCCTGCGCTGCATCGCCGGCTCCTTGGCCCAAGCCGGCGCTTACGTATAGGCGGCCGTGCCCCCTCGTTCCCCATGTGGTCACCGCCGCTCGCAGCATTTCAGCCGTGTGCTTGCAAAACACCATCGGTGGTTTGCAGGGGCGCTGCAGAACGTCGGTGTTGCATGAGCAGGACTGCAACAACGCGAGGCGGTGACGGCGCCGGTCTAAGGCGACAGGTGCCGTCGCCTGCTGGTGTGTGTTGTGGTGTTCTAGTGGAAGAAGAAACAGAGGAAAAGAATGAGTGGCTCACGACTTGTGGAGAAGAGATAAGGCCAAGGGAGAGGAAGGAATAAAGCGACGAGCGAGCGCCAGCCCACATGGACGTGTGGCAAGCGTCGAAGGAGGCTTAAGAGAGAGAGAGAGAAATCAGTCGGATGTTTCTAACATTTTCTTTTTTTTCCTGTGAGAAATGGAAGTTGGTTAATTGCCCTGTTAGGCCTTGTACAATGCAAGGTGGTTAGGATAGGTGTTTGGAGAAATAAACCAGACTTTCTTTATACACCGGTGCTTATTTGTACAGGGCAAACGCTTAATTAGATGTCTCTCCTGTAGAAATAGGCACTGATGATTCAGGGAAACTCGATTTATTTTTCTAAGCATCTCTCTAAGCACCTAGCATTGTACAAGGCCTTATAGAAGGTGTGTGGGCGTGAGCGCGTGGCCATATGCTTTTACTTGGGTTCAAACTCACATGGCTTGGTAATTCATACTAATCATGACAAGAATTATGGAACAGAGGAAGTTATTTGTAAAGATAGCCCAGTCTTACTAATTTCATGCAATCAAGTAAGGGATGAAAACATGTTATACTACAATACTAGATTATATATGGGTCTTGCTTTTAGATGAAAGTATCTAGGGGGTGCTTGACTTTAAATTGATAAAGCCCCAAACCGGTTGAAAAGTTCTAAGAACACACAATGACCCTACAGAGTTCATTAGTTTACAGTTATATGACTATTCACAAAATTAATAACTGTGGACGAACCAACCCAACGGAAAGACTAAGATGCCCGGAATTCGATGTTATTCCTAACGATTTATGGGCAGGTGGGCTTAGAAAAGGCAGAACTAAAATATCACGCCAGATTGTGCCGCAATTTTCTCTCCTCACGATAATCGTTGATTCTCTCTCCCCCTCCCGGCACGGTGAAAGTTTTAGAAAAGGAAAACTTTAACATGGTTTCTCTTAATCTTCTTTATACATGACAGGTAAGAGTATATA